ACTAAACTTTTTGAGATTTAGTCGACTAAAACTAGACTAAAACAATTCAGATGACTAAAATACAACTAAAATGGATTTTTAGTCAAAAGACTATGAATAAAACTAAATTGAAATTTGCCACCAAAAAAAAAAAAAAAAAGAACAGAGGGGCTGGGGATGGGGCAAAATAGACAGACCAGGGCTTGGGAGAGAAGCACCTAGAGAGGCTGGGAGGACACATAGGGACACAGAGGGGCTGGGGAAGGGGCAAAAGAGTTAGATAAAGGCTTTAACAAAACCCATTAGATTTTAGTAGTGTCGACTAAAATCTACTGGAGATTTAGGCGACTAAAACTAGATGGCTAAAATACGACTAAAACTAAAACAGTTCAGATGGCAAAACAGTGTCTAAAACTAAAATAGCCTTTTTAGTCAAACGACAGTGGCGGAATTACCACGGACGCAGGGGTCGCAGCTGCAACATTACAGGGGGCCCAGCCACCCTGCCGACCCCTGCCACCATGAGCCGCTAAAGGTAGGGGTGCCAAGAGGAGCCCTCTAACAGGGGGCCCAGGAGGTGGCCATCTGGCCACCTAAGGGCCCTCCAGATCAGCTCCTAAACAGTGAGACAGTAGGCACCTGCTTACCTGGACGGCAAGTGCCTACTCTGCCAATATTTTCTGCAAATAGGAGGAGAGGAGGCAGGCGGCATTGTGGGCGGCGAGGGAGGGTAATCTGGGATTTCCTCTCTCCTTAGTTGAGCGCCCTCTGTGATGCCAGGAGCCGGAATATGACATCATTCTGGCCCTGCTTACTAAACAGCGCCCGGAAGGAGAGGGGAACGCCCAGATTACAACACAGCCCCACACTGAACCCTAGGAAGAGGACCCACACCAGCTCTCCAAAAGGTGGGGAGGCTGGGTGGGCCTAAAAAATATAAATTGTGTGAGAGTCTGACTGTGTGTGTGTGTGTGTGTGTCTGTCAGTCAGTGTGTGTGCCTCACTCTCAGTGTGTGTGGCAGTCTGAATGCTGATTTTAATATTAACACTGAATGTATCTGGGCAAATGGTCAAACTTTTACCTGACTTGGTTATAAAGTAAATATAAGAGTTGCCAGTCCGGTCATTTTACCTCATTTTGTTCATCTGGACACAATTTGTGTTTATGGAATAACCCTTATTGTGTTTACCTTTAGGGTTAGAACATACATTTGTAAGTTCTCTGTCCTGAAAGGGTTAAGCTACCACGATAGCAACAAGGTTATAGGAGCTTGTGGTCTCAGTGATTATATAGTTAATAAGTACCGTTACCAAACTGTAATCACCACCCTGTGCTGAATGCCAGATTAGAGCTATATTACTTTAAGAAAGAGAGTTTAAGTGTGCACAGACAAACCATCTGAATGCCATAATACATAAAGAAAAGCAACATTTGCCTAAAAATGAAGGGTTAAATGGCAAACATAACAGCTAAGCCAACAGTAGGCACAGACAGAACTACAGACTGATCAAGCGTCAGATCTACAGCTTTGAAAAATTCCTGTTATACTAACTTACAAACATTAACAGAAAATAAACAATACAATCTAAAAACAACAAAGCACATAAATGACCAGTTTTTCAAGAGTCGGGTACTTTTAATTTTTTTAGAACCTACAGCTAATTATCGAATAAAGTGTTAAACATTAGGGGCACTGAAATTTCTCCACTATTAGTCATCTGGTCTTTTACGTTCTTGATACTGAAAACAATCTTGCTAATCTGTTTCTAATTCCAAGACCACTGTGACAGTTTTCTACCTTTAGAATTCCTTAACTTAAAAAGCTATATTGCAGAAATTACTCAATATTACCTTTTTAGAGAGAAGCGGAGGAAACATGCAGCCTTAAATGCTTCTTGTCTGTGACTGAGATGTAAACCAGGAAATAACTCATTATGAAAAATCTCTCGAGATTTTGTATCAATATTTACATTGTATTAAAAGTTTTACAAAGCACAAAAGTCATGGGCTTTATGTATAGTAATCATGACACTACATACTATAATAACTTCAAAGAGAAAAATAAATAATTTATTGTGGAAAACTCTAGGATTACAATTGCTGTGGACTACAAATCCCATGATGCTTCATACCAATTGGATTACAGTTGCAGCTGACCTGTTACTTTTTGGTGGTAAATGATATTCTAAATAGGTTATATATTTCCACTACCATTTCTCTTGAGTACACAGTGCTATTACTTTTATAATTAATATTTTTTGTTACAATGAAGTATATTCCTGTGGAATTTCCTGATGTCCTGTATCCAACTTCAGAAAGTGGATCCTGTAGCGAATATTGGCAGCCTTGGGCCTTTTACACAGAGCCTGGTACGGCTCTGGGACATGTGAGTTATAGTCCCACTTTGTCCTATTTTTTTATCATTTTTACAGGTCACACCATGCTTGCTGTTTTTTTTTCTTGTTGTAGGTCTTTAATACCATTTTGTGTCATCTGCATATATCTGTACCTACAGACGTTTGTATAAAGTTATATAGGTAATACTTATTTTCTGCACTTGGTTTTTGATCTTACCTTATTTTTGGTTCGTCACTCAGGGGAGACCCTTAACGACGGGTGATGGACCAGGTCCGTCATGGGTTAAAATTAACCCCAGTTCACGGCGATCGTGGGGTTAACGGTGCTCCGGTCTGCCTCTGCAATAGCGGCAGACCGGGAGCACCCGATTACGCTGCCCCTGCAACAGTGCTCGCTCTGACAGGCTGTCAGAGTGAGCACATGTGCTGCAGGCACTTATCATCTGCCTCCCTGCGCTTCCGGATTCTGTGTGAAGTGCAGGGAGATGGATCAGCAGTGATCTGCTTCTCCCTGCAAAAAATAAATAAAGTTTAATTAAAATTCCACCCACCTTTACCCATTTTAAATAAAAATTAACCCCTTCCCTGCCAACTGATCACTGACTACAATGATCAATTGGCAGAGATTACATTTTACTGTCGTCATATTTTTTTTTTTTACCCCTGAGGGTTCATTCTTTTTTTTTTTTACCCTCAGGGGTTAAATTTATTTTATTAATTAATTTAAATATTTTTAAATTATATATTTAGCTAGCTGGGGTGGGTGGAAGTTAGTGGGGAATTGGGAGATTTGGTGTTAGGCTAACTAGGGGTTAACGCTAAAAAGTTTTAAAATAAACTTTAAAAAGTCAAAAAATGTTTTTAAAAAATGTTTTAATAACGTTTAAGTAAAAAAACTAAAAAAAACACCCCCTTTTACCCCATCAAAATAAAAATTAAACTCTTCCCTGCCTACAGTGATCAAAATACAGATCATAGTATTATACTGTGATCTAATTTTTTTTAAACTCCTGAGGATTAACTTTTATTTATTTTTTAACCCTCAGGGGTTCAATTTATTTAATTAATTAAAATATTTTATAATTATATATTTTGCTAGCTGGGGTGGGTGGGAGGGAAAGTGGGGAATTTACTGTTAGTGCTGCTTACTGCTAGTTAGGGGCTAAATGTAAAAAAAAAGCTTATAGATATGTTAAATCTGTAAAAAAAAAAAAAAAAGCTTTAAGAAAGTTTAGGAAAGTTTAAAGAAATTAATAAGCAAAAATAAAGGTAAAAAAGTAAAAAATTATTAAAAAAGTAAAAAAATACATTTAAAAACGTTCATTACCACTACAACTGGAATAAACTAGAGAAAAAATGATCCCACGCTAAGGTTCAAAATATGCCTTTTGAATTACCCCAGGGTGTATTCTTTAATAAATAGTATGTGTTTGTGGGGAAGTTTCAATAACCAACCATCTAAACTACTCCAAAATGGAACATGGACACAACGTAAAACTTCAATGTTCGAAAAAAACTGAATGGCTGCGTCTCAAATGTGCCCCTTCAACATCCACATATACCTGGCAAAGGTACATACTGTGCAAAGGTACATATTGCTGTACTCAGATGACTGTCTCAGATGAGCAACATATGTAGTATTATAGTCGTAGCACACATAAGGTTTTCAAAATATACTGGGCAAACTCACTTTGTGTGTCAAAAAGGCAGAAAAAATGTTTATTACCACTACACTTGGTACAAGCTAGCGGAAAAAT